AATACCTCAGAATCAAAATTGAGCAGTTTATGTTGCATTGCTTCAAACTAAGTTAATTAATAAGGAACATGGGGTGGAGGGTTGACAGTTGACAGCCAAGATATAAACGCCCCCCCCCAAAAAAAGAAAAAAAAGCAGGAACGAAGAAAAAAAAAGGTGGGCCCCAAGTTGTCTTTTTCTTCCATGACACTGCTTGTGCTGGTGCAAATTGTTTCATTTGCATAAACATTGAAGAGTGTTAAATTTCATTAACTGTCTCTTTTCATTACCCGCCCCCTTAATTATGTAATTCAATGATGACTGTCCCCTGAAGAAGCCATGACTCTAGTTTCCCCTGCCAATCAACTGCCCCCCCACCCCACTTTGTGACAAATGACATCCCTGTCTATCAATACTACACATCATAGATTGCATTATTCATAAGAGAATCTGGGGGAAAACACTTCAACATCATAAATGAAAAAAAAGTAAGAAATAAAATTATGCAGCATGTAAAAATATAATTTCAGTATAGACATTATTAACAAAAATTAAAACCAAATCTGCAAAGTTTCTTGAAGTTTATGATCTGCTCTCTCTAGCATCTCATGACATTGCGTGGAAGCATTAAAATGAAACAAAAGGACTTCCATTTCACAGAAATTGGAATAAAATTGGAATAAAATTAGAGAACAGCAAAAATATTTTTCTGACATACATAGTTCCATGACAAGGAGACAACTGCAGACAAGAGAGATCTGGCTGTTGACACCTGGTGCCATAACATCTGGACCAGACAATCCAGTGACTGATGGTGTGAGCATTGCCCCCTCAGTCAAGTTAAGATGCCACCCAGGCCATCAAGCTTGACACTCCCATCTACTGAGTCACTTTTTACAACCATTAGATGCTGGGGAACAAATCCATTCTTGATTCCCATTCACTAATAATTGAAACGGTATCCTCCCATTTGTCAGACATCCCAATAGTCAGACAGGTTAAAACAACTAACCATCTGTGAACCACTGAAACTCTGCAGCTTCTTTAAAATAATACTTTCAAAAACATCATTTGTTTGCATCTAGAATATGAAAGGATTTAACATAGTAGTCACACTTTCCTCAACAAGAAACTATGCAAAAGATATCATATACGGTATCTTGGCCTTAATATAAGTCAGAATTAGTTAACACAAAACTGTGTCATCTACACCATTAATTGCATAGAAAGTCACACTGAAAATTAACAAGAACAACTAAAAATCATATCAGTTAAAACATCTGAATACTTAAAACACTCTGGTTTTAAAAAGAATCGACAAAACTACAAATGACAAAACTTAAGAGCATACCCCATATTTATAGAATTAGCCACAGCATTCTAAAAACATTTGTTCATATTAGGCTTCAAAAGTCCTGGTTCTCAGGCAAGACTGCATCACAAGTCCTGGGCCCCGTTCCACAAAACGATCGCAGCGCTAAGGTGATCGTAACTCCCATGCTTTAACATAGACTTACGACAGTCGTAGCGCTACGATCGCTTTGAGGAACGGAGCCCTGGTTCTCAGACAAGACTGCATCACAAGTCCTGGTTCTCAGGCAAGGCTGCATCACAAGTCCTGGTTCTCAGACAAGGCTGCATCACAAGTCCTGGTTCTCAGACAATGCTGCAGCCTCGAAAAGTTCCTGCATGTTTCTGTTTACTTTTCATATTTTTAACAAAAAATTTTGATTAGTACGCTGTGTTTCGAACACACAACACTGGCCATGAAATGCTGCAATGCTATGAATAACAAGATAAAATATAGCATGCAGTTTCTTCCCTTTGAATGCGAACTACTTAACAGAACATCTCATGTTATGATAATGACATCAGAAGCTTGTTTTGCTGTTCGTTAATCTGGTCAACGACAATATGAAATTTGAAATGAAACGTCATTAGCAGATGTGTCCACATTTGACTTTGCCAAAATTAATGTAAAGAACATTGAATGAAATCGTGAACAAAAACTATTATAATACATTGCTAATATTAGTCAACATATACAATGCAAACTTGTAGGCCAGATACTGAAATAACAGTTCGGATTTGTTGATATGGGTTTATGTGAGTAGAAGTTACATCTTCGCATTGAGAAACAAAATTGAGGCTTGTTATGCGTGTGTATTATCATATGCACACACTAGGAGTCAAATGTAACAAAAATCGTATTCTAGAATACCCTGTTAGCTTTAATCTGTTTGATATAACTCTTGCTTGACAACGGTATAAGAATCCATACCGAAACGTAGCATCATATATAATGAAAGAAGTTGTTATCCATAAACAATCTTACTTTCTTATTCTCACTATGTTCTGGTATTTCCATGAACACAATTTATATATTCCTTATTTCAAACACTGATTGTACAATGGTGTAAAGAAAATCATAATAATTGTTTATATTAACACAAAGTGGCAAGATGACCATAAATACATGTGCATCAGCTATTTCAGAACACAGTGTTGGTTAACTGTTGTTAGGCATGAACATATTGTTTGTGCTCTTGATACATACAGCATACGCTAGGTAACATCAAGCTGACTTCTATGAAATACAACTGCACTGAAGCTGTTCTTCCTGCCTAAACAGTTACCATGGTGACCATCACAAGCTGCTTCAATATGGATGAAAGTATAAGTTACCAGGATTGTACTTATCAAGGAACTTTTATGTAGGATGGCTTTTTCCAAGGTTAAAAACACATCCCATCCGTACCATTTTTTCAAATGCTATTGCCTGAGAACCAATTCTTTTAATTTTTTCAGCCTTTTCTGTGTAAAGACAAAGTGTTTCAAAATCACTACACAAAAATGTTGATGTGCATATACACAAGGCTGTTTAGTTGATTACACAATAATAAGTTAAAACACTAATGAAAGAAAAACAAGAAATTAAAATTGAGCAAAAGCATGTCATTGGTGTGTGTCAATTTAATTTTAAATTTCTTATGACAATAATTGACAAGGCATGAGGCAACTGAAGAAGAGACAAAAATTAGCAAAAAAGCTTGATATTTAAAACTAATTCAATCATTTTCAGGGTCATATCTTCAAATTAAAATGTCTTTGGAAAGCCTGTTAAAACACATGAATCTCATCAAAGTAAATCCATCTTAAAAAGTAACACAATTAGAAACAAATTCAAAATCTGTTTTCATATACTTTAACCATATGTGAAACTGAACCCAGACTTGGACTGAGACAGAGAAATGCACTAACCACAAGGCTACCTGCCTTGATGAACACAGAAAAGATGGCAGTGACTGAACAATGATGAAGTGGAAGCAAGATGGATGAGAGTGAAGCGTGAGAAAGCTCATAGTAAATCATACATGGAATATGATAATTTCTATCAGTGAATATTGACAACACTTATTTTAGTAGGGCAAGCAGCATTAAGTTCATAGTTTTGAAGTGTAGTGTAAGTTTCTATACCGAGTCCCTTAGCTATGAGGTCTCTGTAGGAAAGAAAGAACAATTATGTAGTCACTTCACAAAAACATGGCAACTTGAAGCAATACTTTCCTGACAACTATTTTCATGTCAAGCTGCATCAATACTTTCCTGACAACTATTTTAATGTCAACCTGCTGCAGTACTATCTTGACAACTATTTTCATGCCAAGTAAAATATTCTTTACAATTTCCTATTTTCAAGTCATCTTGCAGAAGATTTTTTATAAAACGAAGGCACAGCTTTTCTTTTAAATGTCATAATCTGTCATGCCAAAACATATTAACCACAGTAATATGGAACAATTCTTTTGAGCAGTCTGTGCTTTCGCATCTACTAGCTTGGTTCTCAGCATCATTTTAATCATGTGGACTTGTACCTACTGGACTTAATAGACTGAACAGAATTTTCCTTGACACAGGCTGAGTAGTATGTATAATGCTGTATAAAGGATTGTGGGGTGTGCGAACCCTAAGACTCCAATCCCACCTACTAAATTAACCACTGCCTTACTCATAACCAGCTAGTGCCAAACCGCTTACCACTTGCTTGTTTGTTTGTTTGCGGTAGTCAGCAATATTCCAGCTAAATGACGGATGTCTAAATAATCGAGTCTGGACCAGACTGACTGACTGACTGAGTTTGGTTTAAGCTGCTTTTAGCAATATTCCAGCAACATCATGGCGGGGGACACCAGAAATGGGCTTCACACATTGTGCCCATGTGGGGATTTTACCTGGGTCTTCGGCGTGATGAGCAAACGCTTTAACCATTAGGCTACCCCACCGCCCCGTCTGGACCAAACAATCCTGTATCGATCTATGCAATTGGGATATGGTGACATGCCTCAACCAAGTCAGAAGGATTTATGCATTAACGAATGATGGTTATGATGATGATGATGATGATGATGATGATGATGATGATGATGATGATGATGAAGAAGCAATGACCTATCCTGACATACATAACTGACAGAATGTACTGATAAATTACTTAAAACTTGCATAATGCACAATAAAATAACTTAGGGAAATCACAGCTCCTCTCAACATGAAATAAATAACCTCAAATATTCAAAGGTGATGATTACAGAATAGTTCTCATTTCAAGTCAGCTACTTGAAGCTGTTCCTCCGTATTCGGAAGAGTATGACTACACCACGTCATAGCATGTAGTATCACACAATGGCATCGTGTAATATCACACGATGTAATGTAATATCACATAATATAATGTAATATCACACAATAACATCATATATCACACAGTATAATGTAATATCACAATAACATGTAACATCACACAATAATATGCAATATACAATAACATCATGTAATATCGCACAATAACATCATATAATATCACACAATTACATCATGTAATATCACACAATATAATGTAATATCACACAATAATATGTAATATCACACAATTACACGATGTAACCATCTCTCATAGTCTTCACTGGGAATGAATACTGGTATGTCACATCCTTAAAAGGAAGTCATGTGGGCACACTTACATAGGCTCGGTATTCAGGCTGATTACATCCACTAGATTTCGACCCGTCGTTAAATATGACACATTCATTGGCTTCCACATGTAAATCTGATGCTGCCTGTACAAAGATCAGCTTCTGGTGGAGGACACCGTCCACAAACTCCAGCTTAATGTGTGGCTTCTGTCCTCCTTGCTGAAAAACACAAAAACAAAGTAGATGAAGATGAGAAGAAAGAAGATGCAGATGACATAAACTGCAGACAGGATTGAAATGTAACCCAACATTTGTTTCATTTGCTGTTTAAATGCCACACTCAGCAATATTCCAGCTATATGTCTGTATATGACCAAATCTGGACCAGACAATCAAGTGACTGACATCATGAACATCTACGATCAACCAAGTCAGCAAGCCTGACCACCTGATCCCTTTTTCGCCTGGTTGCTGAAGAACCATCTTCATCAGTGACTTACATTTACTTGACCATGTTGGGTGAGTGAATGAGGTTAGTTTTTATGCCGCTTTTAGCAATATTCCAGCAATATCACGGTGGGGGACACCAGAAATGGGCTTCACACATTGTGCCCGTGTGGGGAATCGAACCCGGGTCTTCAGCGCAACCAGTAAACGCTTTAACCACTAGGCAACCGCCCCCTGACCATGTGGTGATGACAAGGTCAAACACTATGAAGACTGAAATTATCAGTCCTTCTTCTTTAACACTGACAAAATGCCTGTTAGTTGATTCTAAATAGTGTGCATCCAAAATGTGAGCTTACTGGTCGCTCTCAGTGTGAAGCATTAATGCTAAGGTCCGGTAGAATCCGGATGTGGAACAGGCAAAGTTATGGGGAAATGATCAAGACCTTGCAACAAACAGTTTCTATATCATTTATATTATTTAATTGTACTACACAATGAAATGAGAATATCTAATGTATATCATTATGTACCAAATTCTCTGACTGCATTTATGCCTCAGGTGGGAATTTTACAGACATATTAGCATATTGCGTAATATGGATAGAGCCAGAACTGATTCAGATCTTAACGGTGTACCTCAATTAGATTTAGCATTAAATATTCAGGGATGTTCTACAGAGAATCATCTATGCATCTGAAGTCATAACTATATAATTATTACACTCAGAGAAACCCTGAGAAACATCCATTCTTTGCGATGGTTGCTGTTTTGAACTAAGGGATGCAACACTATACACACATTGCCATTCCAAACATTGAAAGCTGGTTATTTTCACTCTAATTGACAAGGTTCCACTCCCACAGAAAATAAATAAGAAGAAATCCATTTCCAAAAGGATGTTATAAAATCATGAAAAACCTTGAGTCAGACACTGATATAATTACTGACCCCTTTGTCCATAAACACAAGATAATAATGAAAGCTAAAGCTAAGAAGAAAATCGTGACTTGGCTTTATTGAAATACAGCAAAGATCAAAAAGTATGACATTCACAGCAACACGATGCCACATGGATTGAATTACAAATGCCTGTTCACTGCATCAAATCACTGCAGTTTTTCAGTATTGACATGAAATACGAAACCCACTGAACATCAGTGAGTGAGTGACTTTAGATTTACCCAGCTTTTAGCAATATTCCAGCAATATCACAACAGGGGACCCCCAAAATAGGCTTCACACATTGTACCATGTGGAGAATCAAACCCGGTCTTTTGTGTGACGAGCGAACACTTGAACCACTAGGGTACTCCACCCCAGTGAACATCAGCATTTGTGAAAAAAGTGATATGAGTTAACACATGTAAAAGGACTTGAGTGGCACCAGCTCATCAGCAAAACTTATACCCAAGGAGCATAGTAGAGGGTGGAATGTAAGTGAAATATAATATGAAAGTCTGAGCATAAATATTTCCGTGATTGACATGAGCATCGATCTACGATACTGATCTACCATGACATGCATCAGCCAAGTCACCAAGTCTGCCTACTCGATTCTGAACTAATTCTAACCTATATCTTCGCCGTTGCAAATGTTAGGAATCTCAGTATTGCAAACAGGGTTCTACAAGGGACAATAGCTCCTGGAACATCAGTATTAACGGGTTGTACTGCCTAGCTACGTCAAATGCACTCTCTATAAGTAACTACAACTAGGAACATTAACAAACCATGCATAGGGCATTATCATCCTCGATAATCTCCTGGGTATACGTTCCGATAAATCTCCACTAGTACCCTGGATTCATTTACGGCCGATAATGTTATTACCTCACTTTGCTGTTTTTTCACCCAATCAGGTGTCTGACGCTGGGAAGTTGAGTGTACCAATCACAAGGCTTCTATCACAACTCACTTTCGCTTCTTTTATCTAGCTCATTAAACTTTTCAACACAATTGTTGCAGAGATACTCTCAAAGAGGTAGAAGGAGTTCTTGCATGTATTTTTTAAGGTTTCAGGCCTGTCAATTTATCTGGATGATTTTTATCCCCAAATCTGAGTCATAGAGCGAGCAAACCTTCACAGCTGCAGCTGTCATCTTTGTTGACACTGGCATGCTCGGTTGTAACAGCTTATCTGATTGGCTACTGTGAGAAGGCTGACCCAGGAAAGGGAGGTAATAAAATTATCAGGCTGAGCCGTAGAAGCATCCAGGCTTCTAGTGGAGATTTACTGGATTGTATACCCTTGAGATTATTGAGGATGAGGGCATGAACATCACTGAACAAAACTCTGATATGGTCAACAAAGTTGAAAAACAAAATGGGCAAAAAAAACAACAAAGAAACAGGCATGCTAAATGTATTACATCTGTCTGCATGAATGAATAAAACTGGGTAATCTTAAGCTAACAAAGACAAGAAGGCAGACTGGAGGAAAAAGCCATGTCGTTAAGGGGAGGTAACAACTGACCACAATACAACAGGAAGTAGAAATCTTCCACGACAAACTGGAAACAAAATGCATGCTGGGATATGTTAATACTAAAACAAGGCCAGCATGTGTCGTACCATACACTGGGTTGTGTGCAGAGACACGGGCCGCACAAACAATTTGGGTGGCGTGATCACATGAGCCAGCAAACCTGAGTGCGTCTTCATTGGAATGAGACACTGGAAAGTAGGTCAAAGATAATATGAGTACTACTGTGACGCATCACAAGCTAGGACATACGGGGGTTATATCACACTCATTCCCCTCACTAAGATCAAACTGTTTCCTTTACCGTGTTACAAAAGTACAAAAATAACCTGTTCACATTGAGACCATGTATGTTGTTTAAGGCCACAATCAGCAATATTCCAGCTATATGTGGGGCTGTAAATAACCAAAGTCTGGACCAGACAATCCAGTGGTCGATATTGTGAGCAACACTCCACGAAGTTACCAAACCTGACCACTTGATCCATAAAGTCACCTTCACATTTCCAGAAAAGTTGCATGTTACTAAATCTAACATTAAGTGAGTGAGTGAGTGAGTTAAGTTTTACACCGCTTTTAACAATATCCCAGCTATATCACGGCGGTGGACACCAGAAATTGGTTTCAAACCTTGTACCCATGTGGAGAATCGAACCCGGGTCTTCGGCGTGACGAGCGAACGCTTTAACCACTAGGCTACCCCACTGCCCTCTAACATTAAGTGAATGAGGTGAGGTGAGGTGAAATTGGGTTTAACGTCATGCTTGAGAATATTTCGCTCATATGACGATTAAGTGAATGAGAAAATGATGCTTTCCGCCTACTCAGCAGTATTTCAGCTATTCACAGTGTCATTACCAATCAGAATTCCTCTTTTCATCTTAAGTTATTATGATCTCATAATACTTGTTCCCACAATGATATTAAGAATTCTTACAATAACATCTAAAACACAGGCCTGGAAATGAGTTTTTCTCGTCTAATCACCACTAACAATTTTACTTCTGGTTTTCAGGAACATCAACCATATATCCTTCATAAATAATCATAACACTGAAGAACAACTCAAAGCAGAATTATTTTTTGAGTTATGGAAAGGAAATCAGAATTCTGAAGAACAAATAACAGGTGATCATGGTGAATACGCTACGAACAAACACCGGGAATGTTTTAGCCAAATTGAATGCAGCATATTGTATCATCCAATGAAATTTCAGCATTTTACTTCCTCTGATTGATTAACCAATGATGTTCCAGTATCGTGTCTGAACTCAATGATCATCCAATGAGACTGCAGCAGAATGTTACAACAGAAAGGCAGCACATTGTGCAAGGTCAAGATCAAACTGTATGGCCTATTAACCAATTATACAGGCAGGCAGAAATAGTAACAATTCAATATCAGCATTAAGTCTTTCAGTAAGATTAATCAAAGTTGCTTCCAGCAAATTATCGAGATTGCTGCAGTTATTTTCAACTTTCTGAAATGAAACCAATGAGATTTCTGCTACTTTCCTGGCCATGATAAACAAATGAAGAACCTGCATCCACTTCCCAATCTGATTCTTGCAAACTCTATAACCAATGAGAAAGTGGCATCAAATGACTGACTGACTGACTGACTGACTGACTGAGTTTGGTTTTACGCCGCTTTTAGCAATATTCCAGCAATATCACGGCAGGGGACACCAAAAATGGGCTTCACTCATTGTACCCATGTGGGGATTCGAACCCGGGTCTTCGGCGTGACGAGCCAACGCTTTAACCACTAGACTACCCCACCGCCCCAGCATCAAATGAACACTCCTTAATTAAAAAACAATACTCTCCTCTAAGATTAACCAATGAGATAGCAGCACCCATCTTCTTACGATTACCACTGACAGATAGTGTCCTCTTTATAAGAACAACCAATGACATATAGTGTCCTCTCCATAAGAACAACCAATCAATCAATAACTAACCAATGAGACTGCAGCAACTACTGTCAGGAACAACCAATGGCGTGACAGCCTATATTTACCTGCACCCGGAGCTGGTTACACTCCTCTCCTTGACAAAGACCTTTTTTCTCGTAGTATTCGCTGACTTCGTCCAGTCGACTTGTAAAATCACCGCTGACTGCAAATGTATACTCATTTCGTGTAAACTGTTTCTCATCATTTCTTGTTTCATTGGTAATTTGTTTGTTGTTTAACTCGGCACTACATTCCAGGGCCAAGATTTTCATTGCTCTCTTAGCTCTAAGATAGTCGTAAATGCCATTCATTAACATTAACTTACGACTATCTTAGTGCTAAGAGAGCATTGAAAATCTAGGCCCAGCTCTATAATGAGGGTCTACAAAGAATCAAGTCTCAACCAGATAATCCAGTGATTGATATCAGTGAGTGAGTTTAGTTTTACGCCGCACTCAGCAATATTCCAGCTATATGGCGGCAGTCTGTAAATAATCGAGTCTGGACCAGACAATCCAGTGATCGACAGCATGAGCATCGATCTGCGCAACTTGGAACCGATGACATGTGTCAACCAAGCCAGCGAGCCTGACTACCTGATCCGTTAGTCGCCTCTTACGACAAGCATGGGTTACTGAAGGTTCATCCTCACCCGGACTTTCACGGGATGATTGGCATCATGTTCACTGATCTACACAACTGTGACATGCACGAACCATGAGTCACCTCTTATGACCAGCATGGGTTGCTTATGCACTGGAACTTTTCTAACAGTCTAACATGTCAAAAATTAAAAGCCATTCAACCATGAAATACCACAAACTAAATAAATGACAATTTTCATTGAACCTCTTTAACAAATTTAACTTTTGTTGTTGTGGAAACAGTCGTATGAAGTTTCAGCTTAATTGGTCCCGTGGTCTCTGAGATGACAATTTTGCACTTTCCGAACAATTTAGGGGCATGATCACTAAAAGTGTAATGTTCAAATTTAGACCAGAATGTAAAATATCAAGAAGAAACAAGAACATGAGTTAAGCCCAACTACCAACTTTACACATACTAAATGTCTTTACACTCAAAAGGACAGCTTTGAATAATGGCCATTACAGTTTTTAGAATGGAAGAAGTCCACATGTAAAATCAAGGTCAAAATGTAAAATATCACCAAAACATACATACATCTAAAACACATTTTTGGCATCATTACTAACAACATTTGTGCCAAAATTCATGTCATTTTGTGTAAAATGATTCTGTTAAGGCACAAATAGGTTTTACAATATGGTTGCCATGGATGAAAATATGGTGAAGCTCTTTAACTTAGTGGGGGATCAACAGTGTGGGAGAGAAAGCTTGGAATTTCATTGGTCTAATTGTTTCTGAGTAATTAGTTGTTTGTTTGTTTGTTGTTTAATGCTGCATTCAGCAATATTCCAGCTTTAGGGCAGCAATCTGTATAACATAGAGTCTCGACCAGACAATCTGGTGATCAACAGCATGAGCATCAATCTATGCAATTGGGAAACGATGACATGTGTCAATCAAGTCAGAGAGCCTGACCACCCGATCCCATTAGTCGCCTCTTACGACAAGCCTGGGTTGCTGAAGACCAATTCTAACCCGGATCTTCATTGGCAGTTTCTGAGTAGAAGGTAATTATGTCAGACAAACAGGCTTTGCCAAAAGCCCAGTTGAATGCAGTCAGGTGAGTTATGAATGAATCGGAAAAATATATTTGCATCATTAAAAATGACAATAAGAGCAGCTTACATAGGATATCCTCATTCTCTCCTGAACACTGAGAGTTACCTCCCTTTTGAGCACACTGACTTCCACCTGAAAATGTACACATTAAACATAACACTACAGTAACATTGAAACAACGATTACTCCTTATTTTTAAAATCCATCACTAACAATAACACACATTCACAGTGACAAGTATGACAAAGTATGATACAGTATTCAATAAAAATTTAAAATATCTTACCCGAGGTCTAAAAAATGGCCTAAAATTCAGTGCTGGTGGCCAAATAAAACATTTTAACTTCCACATCTGGACTACTTCTGCTATATCCTGGCCTCTATCTATCTAGAGGCTTGCATGGAATCGATAGATGCATCTCATAAAGGAAAATAAGGCATTTCTTTTTCATATCTCACATCATATTTGGGTTAGTAATTCTGAATAATGAGGCCTAATCTAATGATAGACTTAAAGCCAATATGAATACAAACCAAATACAGTGAGTAGCTGATGGAGTGAGTCAATGTATGAGTGAGTGAGTGAGTGAGGGAGTGAGTTGAACAGTAAATCCAGCTATATCCTGGCATGTCATCCTGGTGTAAAGTGAGTGAGTGAGTGAGTGAGTTTAGTTTTATGCTGATTTTAGCAATATTCCAGCTTCATCACGGCGGGGGACACCAGAAATGGGCTTCACACATTGTACCCATGTGGGGAATCGAACCGGGTTCTTGGCATGACAAGCGAAAGTTTAACCACTTGGCTACCCCACCTCCCCACCTAGTGTGAGAGGAAAGCCTCAAGTGATGTAGTCATCAGATGTTTAAAGCATTGGTGAACTGGGATTCAAGCCCACAAACATGAGATCCTGGAATACCAAAGGGATGCAACTCTCCACAGTAAATTTGTGTGCCTTAGATGACATGGCCACTTGTTCGTATTGAATAAGGAAGTGAAACTGTCAGTTTATGAAATGTATCATATATGATAATAAACATAGAAAATCTGCAATAAATCTGCAATGATCTAAATAAAAAAGTACCGCATGGCTCTGTAGCTCACCCGACTTAGGAAGAGAAAACAACATTTTGAAATAAATATGTGAGTCATCTAGGTGAGTTGAGGTGAAATTGGGTTTTACGTCGTGCTTGAGAATATTTTGCTCATATGACGACGTGCATGCGTGTGTGTATGTGTATGTGCGGCTGCTGGTACTAGCCCAGACTGAAGCTGGTTTTATAGTGCTAGCTCACTGAGATACCATGCCGCAGTGAAGCATGAATACCCCACTCAGACACATTATACTGACTCCGAGCCAACCCGTCCTTGTTGTACCCATTATTGCCGAGCGCCAGGCAGGGACCAACAAGTACCATATTTTAACATGTTTTGGTATGACGCGGTCGGGGATCGAACCCACAACCTTCCGCTCTCTGGGCGGACGCTCTAACCACTACACCACGGAGGCGGTTCGAGTCATCTAGGAAAAATGTTGAGATTGAATAGCAATGTCTGAAACAAACTTTGATATTCTCATTGTCATACACACAAATTCAAGTCTGTGTTTTATACAAATCAGCGTTTGTGAAATTGGATTTTAGTAAGCTAAAATTGATTACGTAACAATATTCGTTCAACACAGTAAACACTGTGAAAAAACCCAACAACTATAGAATCAACATGAGTGAAATATGGCACTTATTATATACTAACAGGGGTGACAGTTGTATATAATGAATGTCCAGTGCTGAACAAACTGAAACAAACAATGATCAGCATCTTCGGTGAGTTATGAATACAACATGCATGGCTGCCTACGACAGTGTTAAATATATGCTTGATGACTTGTGTGACTAGAAGGATGTGGTCAGGTGCTTATTTTTCCCCCATCATTCTAACTATGTCTTCAGCATGGAACATTATGCCACTAACAAATCTCAAAGATCAGCTTATTAACATTTCACAAAAAGAACAAGAAAAGTTACTGTTAAAGGTAACAGAACAGAACAAGTCAGTAACATATTTTAGTGAATACAGTTTTATCCCACTTTGAGCAAACTTCAATCAGCAATATCACTGTGGAGGACAACTGCTTATTTCTTACTTAAATGTCATTGTGACCTGTGATTCTCTAGCTTATATGTTACAGTGACCTTCTTCTTTCTGAAATGTCAGGGTGACCTACAATTTTCTTCTTCATGTCACATAGACCTGTTTCTTTCTCACTGATGTGTCACAGTGACTTTCACCTTTCTTAGATATATGTCGCAGTGACCTACAACTCTTTTCTTCATGTAACAGAGACCAGTATCTTTTTCACTCATACCAGTATGTCACAAGTCCCCTTCACCACTCTTATCATGTCACACTGACCTGCAATTCTCCTAGTTCAATGTCATGAAGACCTGCACTAAACTTTCCATGAACTGCATTCAACGACTTACACATCACCATCACCATCCTTCTAGTACAAGTCGGTCTATGCAAAGACGTGTATTAGGTCAGTATATTCAGCTTGTACCCAACAAGATAATGGTTACAGTAAAGATACAAGTGTTAATGTCTTCCCTGCACCAAGCTGCTTCTGAATAGGAGGAAACTATTGTCTTTCTCAGAAGGAACCGATGATAGCCTTTGCCCACAACTCAGAACCACAACTCAGAAGACCACTTAGATCAGAACCTACAATTATTCCATGGTAAGCTGACACATACAACAGTGCCATGTAAATCATGGTCAGAAGAAATTCTGGTCTTTGAATGGCAGTTAAAACTGATACACAAAAGGAAGAGAGTTTTATTTATGCCAACTTATTTGTTATGAAGAACACAACGTTTCAGAGTACATCCTTACGCGTTCATCAGGTGAATGAATTAAAGATATACTCTAAAATGTTCTGTTCCTCATAATAAAGAAGTTGACATCCATAAAAGTCTCTTCCTTAGAAGAAATTCTGTTAATCACTTGTTCACTGACTTATGGGCAGGCACATTGACATTCCTTCTGAAAAAGAAACTTCAGAACCTAAGCTGGATATGACAGATGAAACAGGCGTGAGCAGAAGCACCTCTGACAATGTCTTTCATGACTAAAGCTCATCTACATGCACAACCTGTACTCAGAAGTACACTGATGAAGCAATTCTCTCCTGAGCTGTTGCACTATGATATCAATACCTATGATTGAATACAACTCATATTTTAACAATCTAGAATTTCTTCTGAATTAACAGGACTAACAGTCATCAAATTGATGCTGACACTTTCATGCCGACTATAAAAGTAGGGTAACTCAAATACAGAGACTGCCTTCAAATGAGTGAGTGAGTTTAGGTTCAGCGCGCTTTTAGCAATATTCCAGCAATATCACTGATGTGACACCAGAAATGGGCTTCACACATTGTACCATGTGGGGAATCGGACCTGGGTGTTCAGCGTGATGAGCGAATGCTTTAACCACTAGGCTACCCCACCGCCCCACCTTTAAATGACAATAACATTGAAGTACATGAGTCAGCCCCACCCCACCCCCTCCCACTTTACTTACATACCTAACACTCAGACTTACTGAATATGTAATATACACTGAATATAACATTGAGAAACATTTTCTGGAAGCTCAGCATCAAAACTTCAGTTAACTGGTAACGTATATTTAAAACAATCAAAAGTGTTTCATTTCCTATTGACCTAAGGATTTAACTTTTCATCAATGATCAATGTTGCTCGAGATTTACTGACATCCAGCGAAGGTTCTGTATGAAGCCAAAGAAATAAATGTTGCAGTTCTGACTACATTTATTACAAGACAAGCATCTGCATATGAATTAGTGAGCTTGGACTAGGATCGTTTAAAAAGTATGTCAGTTTTATCACAGCATGTTAGCTTGGTGGGGCCCATAAACAAGGGAATGGTGCCAATGAACCTTGAAATGTAGCCAAAGTGAATCATAGGTTCCTGACGTGCCTAAGGGAGGCAACTCCATAATGCAAATTGCAACCCTTTACACAGCACCTTGTCTAATAGTATCTTGTAATCAGAACAACATTTCTTTCTTATGCCTTAACGTTCGGATAGTGAAAATAGCAAAACAAGGTGTACCACTGTTCAGGATTTTGTGCTTTTAATTTTTGACCAGTCGACAATGGATGTGGAGTCTGTTTTTTGAGCCTGAAATAAATTCAACCACATCCTATCTCAGCAAGGAATGCCACACAGATGGGAAGAGAAAGAGGTGAGAGGTGCCATGGTTCATACAGAAATACAAATTAATTAACATGTCAAACCAAACCTAAAACAGTCATTTACAACAAAATATTTTGAAGATTACTATATAAAGAGTGTAGTTTCCTCTTTGAAATGAGGTTTCATAAAATATTTTCTGTCTCATTATTAAAAATATGTGTATCAAGATTTGAATTATTTTGATCAAAATTTGCAATGAAATGGTTGAAAAATCATAATTCCAAAATTCAAGGCCTTTTAACCTTTTCCCAAGAACTGATCAATTTGTTGCTAAATATCAGGCCTTCTCGAACTGGAGCTTCCAAATTCATTTTCCTTTATAAGCTTGTATGAACCATGAGGACGAGAGCAAAATCAAAACAGAAATAGTATATAAATATCAGAACATCTGATAAAAGCAAGACTAAATGTGAACACCTAATAGCAAACCCTCATATTGAATAAAGGCTAAGCATGAAAATCCCACTATTGATAAGGAATCCCGAATCAGCATTAAACAAGCCTGAGTCAGCACAATGATCTGCAGAGTCAGCACAATGATCTGCAGTCAGTTTGGACAAGGATATGCTGAGTGGACATACAGTAATGCAAGTCACATACTGATACCACCAAATGAATGAGATTAAAATACCAGCATTAACTTGTCCCAACACTACAGTATACAGCAAAACTACACTCAGTTGATCCTTGACTTCAAATCACCTAATGCATGAATGAGATTGGTTTGTATAAATTAGATGATAATGAATGATTTAAATATAAAAACAATGTGCTCTATAAATTATTACCATATACAAACAGATTTCTTGGATTTCCAAACAAACAAATGAATGAGTTTTATGTCTTCAACTGGAGAATTCAACCCTAAATAAGTGAATGAGTTCTGACAAAGAATAAGGGTGAGTGAGTGTGATGCTGAATCAAACATATCCCCAGACCCCCCAAGCCAAGAACACAACCAAGTGTGACCCCACAGTACCTGTCTGATCCACTGTGACCTCACTGCCCCCGGAACAGGTGTCCATCTTCACTGGACTGATGGTGCAGGTCTGCGTGCAGTGGCCGTTGCAGTCACTGGACTTGTGCCGAGTTCTTGTCTCAATTATACACTTCTCTTCACCATTCTCCTGGAGAACAGGAACCATTCTCACATGATAAACATGACCTGTATACCATCAGTCAATAGTTCCATACCCAGTTTCATTGTTGTTTAATGCCACACTCAGCAATTTCCAGCTATATGGCGAATGTAAATACAGTGGAAATTGTCAAATCTGGACTCTGACCACCTGATGATCTTGTTAGTCACATCAAAACAAGCATCTACCAGGAACTAAAATCGATATGATTTAGTAAAACAAACTTAAGTCTTAGAGTTTTTCAGAGTCAAATTTGAGAAAATGCATTTCCCAGAATGAACTAAGAAAATCGAATGAAAACTCAACCTAGTAGACAATTTGAGTTTGGTGGCTAGATTACTGCTTTTTAAAAAATGCAGTTGAGTTAAAAATTCAGCTGTTTCAAATTGTCCAACCCAGTTTGAGATTTTAGTACAAACTTAAGTCTGAGTTTTGACTTAAGTTAGAGTTTTTACTCAAATTTGAGAAAATGCATTTCCCAGAATGAACTGAAATCGATATGAAACTCAACTTAAGTAGACAATTTGAGTTTGGTGGCTAGATTACATAAATTGTTTGGGCTTTTATATCTTAAAAATGCAGTTGAGTTAGAAATTCAGCTGTTTCAAATTGTCAAACTCAGTTTAAATTTGAGTAAAAACTTAAGTTTGTTTCGAGAAATCGGGGCCAGTTCTAACACAGATCTTCACAGGTCTTGATACAGAGTAGTAGGAAGGGCAACCCATTGGTCTACAGTGTGTTGTCCAACTCAAGCAAACATTACCATCTTCAACATGTTAAATGAGGACTAAGCTTGAAATAAATGGCAGTCATGGCAAATTTGATTCAAGTTTGTAAAATCCACTTTCTCAGATTCTGACTCTAATGTCATGATAAATGTCACATTAGCAGTTATTGATAATCGTTATTACACTGAAGAAGCGTATTAAGTTCACAGTTAGCACGAAATACATCTCTAGGCCAAGACTTTAGCACCAGGCCATGTATGAACCCATTAGTTTGTACCTATTGGTTTGTTTGTGTGTTGTTTAACGACGCACTCAGCAATATTCCAGCTGTATGACGGCGGTCTCTTAACAAACGAGCCTGGACCATACAATCTGGTGATTGGCATCATGATTCTATATATAAACCTCCCCCAAAACCAGAAAACCAAGGTACAGAAGCTCACCTGACACTTTTTTAAAAGAACTTGCTGAGTGGTTTCACAATTCTCAAACCTATCATTGAGTGGACCATGTGAAATATGTATGATAATGAAACTCTGATACAAAAAAGAATACCTATATTTTGCTACCTTCTATTATGAAATAAAGAAAAATAAAGAGTGTACCAACAGAACTTTTCTGAAGGCATCACTTTCTACAGAATTTGGTGCAACTAGTTGACTGTAGTAGACCAAACAGAATTTTACTAGACTCAGGCTTTGAAGCAGAGGCTTAAGTCACAGACTGATGATGCCTTCGCTAAATCTTAAATAATGTTTGTGTTTTTTATAGGTGAGGTGAAATTGGGTTTTACGTCCTGCTTGAGAATATTTCGCTCATATGACGACGTGCATGCGTGTGTATGTGTGGTTGCTTGTACTAGCCCAGACTTAAGCTGGTTTTATAGTGCTAGCCCACTGAGATACCATGCCGCAGTGAAGCATGAATACCCCACTCAGACACATTATACTGACTCGAGCCGACCAGTCCTTGTTGTACCCATTAATGCCGAGCGCCAGGCAGGGACCAACAAGTACCATATTTTAACGTCTTTTGGTTTGACGCGGTCGGCGATCGAACCCGCGACCTTCCGCTTTCCGGGCGGATGCTCTAACCACTACACCACGGAGGCGGTCGTGTTTTTTTATAAATTGCATATGTTCATGGTAGATTTGAGAAAATGTTACAAATTACATTAACATTAATTGATTGCATATAACTTGACTATCTTCAACATGCTGAGGCATCAAACATAAATCTAAATGATCATGGAAATGAATAATAGAACACATGAAAGTACAACTGTTCCTTTACTTATTTCCAGAATTTCACCCACAGTGGAATACATACCTTGTGAAGAAACCTGGAAAGGAATAAAGGAATAGTTGTACTTTCATGTGTTCCCTTATTCATTTTCACAGTATATATTTCCCCAGTTGCACACAGGAAATACATAATTCTGACACTCCTCACCAAACATAAGAATGACACAGAGACATGTAATAACATGTATATAACGCAGTCTACTGTTGACAAAGGCCACAACAGCGGAAGGAGAGCTATCTCTAACAACAGCATGCATTCCACCACAAAGACAACCAACCAACACAGGGAGACACAATGGGAGGAGAATGGGAACAAATCAGTTACTACTTTATCAACTCAAGTTCTTTATACAACAAGAGCAATGCAAAAAGGAGACAAAAACAAAAGCAATTATATTTTCAAGTTAAATTCTATAATTTGAAAATGAAATCAACAAAAGTTAAAATCATGCATGGTATGCTTCCATGTTTATGCTGATTGTTCTAAATTCAGGCATTTACATAGAAATTAATACTGCTCCACATGGTGCAAATTTTAACCAATAACTTTACCCGAAATACCAGAAAGAAATGGGCAGAAAGTCACGTGTTGAGGAGTCACATGACCAGGCTGAACGAATGAGCTGAGGGCTGCATGCTGAGTGGTGGAAACACTGTTACCAGTTTACAGATAACTCTGCTCTCTGCTTGTTGGTTAGTCGTAAACACCTTCGGCTGACAGTTGCTGCCCACTGGCTGTGCAGGGAGTTCCTGTGGTGCTGCACTCTGGGTAGCCTGGTGGTACTTCTGGTGGCAGCGTATTGCTCTCAGCGTGTTGAAGGCCTCCACGTTGTCGGGGTCCCCCTCCAGTGCTCGACGGTAGTGCCACACAGCGCCGGTGTAATTGTTGGTTGCCCATAACACATTACCAAAGAAGAAATGGGTTGATGGCTGCAGAACAAAAGTATGAATACACGATATTTAGAAAGCGGAATAATGTAGCCTCAGTGGCTGAGTGGGTTAGATCGCTGACTGTGTCTGCTGTCGATTAGGTGCCTGTCTCTGACAGTGTGGGTTTGAATCCAGGATGAGGGTCAACCCCTCAAAAGTACTAGAATCTGTACTTTACAGAAAGTGTAATCCCAAAATACTAGGGCTGAAATGATATACCACGGTATTAGTAGAACCGAAGTATTTTGCCTTCAGTTCAGTTTACCGTAATACATTAAAAAAAAATTTGGTATTTTCGGTTTCTTTTACACCTATTCTTAAATGTCTAGAAATCAAATCATTTTGTCAAAATCGATTTAGGTTTGGCTCTTTTTGTCAGTTATCTGCATTATGATCATATCTCATATACCGAACTGAAACGAACCGAACTGAAGCCCTTGTAGCACAATATGTACCGTACCGTGGTAAGAACGTACCATTTCAACCCTACAAAATATATCCTATGTTACAACAAAAGCATGACTTAAGACTTTAGCGATAGTATAGTTTCTTCATGCTATTTATGATCTAAATAGGAACAAAAAAGAACGCTTTGAGGCTGCATATTTTAGTTAAACTGAGCAGTCCTAAATGTCAGATATGAACCTGGGCAACCCACAGTCAGTCAACACACCAGCCATCAAGTCATCCAACAAGTCTTACACTTTAACACAATACAAGTGTTTGCCACTTATATGGCAATGTCCCCCGCCGCTAAAGAATGGAATATCTATATTTACTACTTCTTATTTTTGGGTCACATACAAGATGCCTGAAATGACTGGTGTCTGCATAATCACCCAATGTAGGCTGTCAACATACTTGAAAACATTGGGTGCAATGTTTTATGAGATATTGCCTTTAAAAAGCGGTCAAAGTATCTTGGTGACCTTGAAGATAAGGTCAAGGTCACCCAAAATCAACTGGTGTCTGCGTAATCCCCCTATGTAGACTGTCACCATATTTGAAAAAGTTGGGTACAACAGTTCATGAGATATCGCGTTAACAAGAATTGGGACGTACGTACGGACAGACGCCGCTGAATACATAGTCCCCCGTTCCGCGTTGCGGCGGGGGACAATAAACACTGAATCAGATAAAGGACACAACTCACCTCCCAATCATTGACACTCAGAGCATCCCGCAACACTGTAACTGCATCGTCGTATCGACCGTAGCGGTAGAAGATATTAGCCAAGTTTACCAGCGGTACATCCCGGTACTCATCAGGTACGAGATGCAGGGATCTGCGGATGCACTCGATGCCATGGTAGTTGTTGCCGATGATGCGCCAGTACATGCCAGCCAGGTTGTACAACACCCACCCAGGACCAATGTTCTAGAAAACAGGACAAAAGACTAACAACAAGTGCTTGCCATTAATATGGCAATGTCCCCCGCCGCTAAAGAAGAATGAAATATTTATAACGTATTTACTACTTTATATTTTTTGGTCACATACAAGATGCCTGAAATGACTTGTGTCTGCATAATCACCCAATGTAGACAGTCGACATAATGGAAGACATTGGGTGCAATGTTTGAAGAGATATCGCGTTTACATGAGTTTGAAAAGTGGTCAAAGTGCCATGATGACCTTGAAAATAAGGTCAAGGTCACCCAAATCAACTGGTGTCTGCGTAATCCCCCAATGTAGGCTGTCACTAAACTTGAAAGTATTGGATTCAACAGTGCATGAGATATCACGCTAACAAGAGTTTGAACAGTTCTTGAGATATCGCGTTCAAGAAAATGGAATATAGTCCCCTGTTCCGCCTTGCGGCAGGTGACAACAACAATCCCATACTTCCAATTCTACCATGACTTCAGTAAACACTGGACTGTGATTGGTTAATTAAAGTCATTCAAAGGTATTATAATCACATTATACCTCTGATTTTCAAACACAGTATGTATTTTTATAAAACCTTAATAACAAGGTTATGTTAGAATGGAGATAAACATTCTTTGTTGGAAAATCAGAGGTACAAAAGGAAATTATAATAACTCTAAATTTGATATAAAACCGAACGCATAGCTCCTAATTAAGTACCTACTACTGTTTTTGTGGATGCCATATTTTGAATGTATCATTTGACTGCAATGTTATACATTACTATTTGGCAGTATGACAAGAGGACAATGTTAGTGATATAGATGTAATTCATGAGTTGACAATGTCCGTCCAATCTCACCTCTTTCAGTGCTGTGAGAATCCTCTGTCCCACTTCCTCCTCAGTCACCACTGCATTGTTCACATGGGCCAACAGAATCTGTAACACAATCACAGCTCAAATCTGTAACACAATCACAGCTCAAATCTGTAACACAATCACAGCTCAAATCTGTAACACAATCACAGCTCAAATCTGTAACACAATCACAGCTCAAATATCCACATGTAACACAATCTACAATCTGTAACACAATCACAGCTCAAATATCCACATGTAACACAATCACAGCTCAAATCTGTAACACAATCACAGCTCAAATCTGTAACACAATCACAGCTCAAATCTGTAACACAATCACAGCTCAAATATCCACATGTAACAATCTACAATCTGTAACACAATCACAGCTCAAATCTGTAACACAATCACAGCTGTGTTATCCACATGTAACACAATCTACAATCTGTAACATACATTGCCTTAAAACTATATAAAAGTACATTTATTTGAAGATGAACTTTTTAGACTGATGTACATTCCACTATTTGGGATCTTGTTATGGTCAAGAAGTATAGGGGATCTCATTTTGCATAATTATTGAAGATGTACAGTATAAAATGTGCAAATGTTTTCTCAAAACGTGTAAATCAACAAACAATGCTATGGTTTGGGGAGAATGTGCCAGAGCCCCTCTCCAACTTGTCAACACCACAAGGACTATTAATTATTGGTGCAGGCAACAGTATTTGTATGAACACAGACTGCCAATGCTACCCAATGGACGACTCTGGCTGTACCATATGGGCTACTCATATTTAAAATATTCTGTTTAGGCTTAGATTTGAATATGTGTGGTTAACACAAGATGTGGGAAATGTGAAGATATTTATTCATCTTTTTAAAACATGATTATCTGACAACCTACAACAATCATGGTGTAGTTCTGTCAACAGTTTATCTGATTCCTTCTATTAATATGTCATAATGTGTCTGTTTTCCTATTACATACAAAACTAGCTGTATCTGGGGGTGGGGTGGGTTGGGGTGGGGAATGGAGTACATTCAGTTATATATATATCATAGTCATGTGATTCTCCATATAGATAACATGCAAATTGTCTGATGTGTAATCAACTTCTCGGTAGCATCACGCAGATGTTGCCATACCATGACTATTGTCATACTTTTTAAAACCAATGCGTATATTGTGTCACCATGATCAACCCCATGCAAAATGGAAGAATAGATATGGATGTTATATTGAAATGCTATATGCCAAATTAATAAAAATAATAAATATATTCTTCTTTATCATTATCACATTTTTGAAAGCACATACATTGTTAAAAGTACATGGTTGAATTAATCAGTTATGTGTTTCAAATGTATTAGATATATTTATCATTAATTACATAATGTGGTAAACAACCATTTTCTAGTTACTATTACTGGGTGTTCAGTTTATTTCCAGCATACAACTAGTGTTGGGAATTGGTTGAAATCTCACAATTGATGATTGCTTCATTACCAACGAACAATCATCGAAAAAAATTGGTTAGCACGATTTTTCAGATTTTCCAATCCAGGTTGTTATTGTAGATATGTATAACATGATGCAACTTGCTACTTTAAAGTGATGACTGATATATCATGAACATAAACTTCCTTGAGTCTTGGAGAAATATTCAGTCATGGCTTTTCAGTTAGTGAAGTGAGTTTTCTAAGAATTAAACACGCTTTCAGGCCCTGACAATTTCTAAGATATGTTCCATAGTCAAGTTTTTCAAAGACTAAAACAGTAGTTCCAAAATCGTTTATGTTCGATTATGAGAAAATGTGATCGATTGCTTGGTCGTTTGGTCACTGCGACCAATCTTCGATTATTTCAATTAATCGGAACACCACTACATACAACAGGAGAAAATGGGACCAAATCATTGAATTATACGTCATCAAATATGCTAAAATAAGATGCTAAAGTTCTGTATTTAATCAATGTGGTCGTTCAGATCCATGTTTCATGTGTACGATTTCGAGACAATGGCGACCTGGCATGAAATATCAACGCACATGTCGGTGTTGAAAATGGGGTCTGTGTTATTGTTTACATTGCAACCATGTATAACGATTTTCATGTCTCGAAACTGCATAAATAACGTTATCGTAACTAACAGATTTACGGAAACCATCAATGTTTACCGAAGAGAGGCCAAATGTTTGTTCAAAGCAGAGGGGAGTGCTAATGCGAGGGTCAATGGTCAAATGTGAAATGCAGTTAGACAAATTGAATACGATGAGCAGAAAGGTAAAAGAATGACCTACAAGCTCAACACAATTATTTGTATGTGTATGTGTCAACTCATCGGTGACAGGCCAAATTGTTCCTTGCATAAAAACTTTCCTGAATACACTAAAAAGCAGTCGCATAACGTTAGTTATGATTATAAATATGTTACGTTAATAGAGCAGAACCTGCAATTAAAATGACACAATACTAGAATATATTTCTCTTTATAAAATAATAGTTTGAGATACTATATGTTTAAGACCACTGCCTCAGAATTCATCTCGTTATATTATCGGGTACGTTTTAACTAAATCACCGGTAGGGGAATGTGTGCACTGCACAGCTGATTGCTATTTCCGGCGCTGTATAAGAGACAATTACACACAGTAATCTTAATCCCTGCATACAAGACAATGCCTAGCAAAAACAAATTACAACTGAATAGGTAAATAATCTTGTCTAGTGATGTTTAATTTTTTATACTTTCAAAAGCATTCGAATCATAATTTTTTTCAATTATGATGCTTAGTCTATTTATCCTGACCCTATGTTTCTAAATTGTTTTCATGATAATCCCTCTTTTCTAATGTTCTATCAGCTTTTTGTTTTATCATACCGGTCTCATGGATGGGTCATTATATTTCAGTGGGATCTTGCTCTTCTCCGAGTATGCCATGGTTTTGAGATGATCATAGGTGCGACGATCGACCTCTGGGATCTCCAGTAGAGGAACACACACTGGTGGGTACCATGGCAATGGGTGCTCTCCCCCTGGTTTTAAGTTTTGAGCTTCAGTGAGCAATGCTTTCACTCTGAAATGACAAAAAGAATAAACTCTTTACAGATGTAATCTGCCAGAAAAGTGAGTGAGTATGGCGTTACGCTGCTTTTAGCAATATTCCAGCAGTATCACAGCAGAGGACAACCGACTGACTGACTGAGTATGGTTTTACGCCGCTTTTAGCAATATTCCAGCAATATCACAGCAGAGGACACCAGAAATGGGCTTCTCACACTTTACCCATGTGGCAAATTGAACCTGGGTCTTCAGTGTGACAAAAGAATGCTTTATCCACAAAGGCTTCCCCACCAGTTGGGAACATACTTTTAAGAAAATCAAATCAATGGCAGTTCCAGTAGTGCTCCTATATAAGTACACAATGGACTTACTCAAAGCCCTTGTTTTCTGGAGACAGGTATGTTGTGGTGAGGTTACGGGGGTCCGGCACCTTCTGGACGTACGTGTCACACTCCTCTTTCTGAGGCCACTCCTCTATCATGTGCGCCGTGTTTGTCTGAAATATAGAGATGGCGACCATTGCATCTAGCTTTGACTGAAAACTGAGCTCAACTTAACCTCCTCAGTGCAGGTTTCTGAAATTTATCACTTTGGTGAAACCTAAGAGCAGAGGTAAGAAGTGTAGACACAGGCAAGCATGGGGTACTGTGGACCCAGGCACACATGGGGTACTGTGGACCCAGGCAAGCATGGGGTACTGTGGACACAGGCACACATGGGGTACTGTGGACCCAGGCAAGCATGTGGTACTGTGGACCCAGGCAAGCATAGGGTACTGTAGGCACAGGCAAGCATGGGGTACTGTGGACCCAGGTAAGCATGAGGTACTGTGGACCCAGGCAAACATGAGGTACTGTGGACCCAGGCAAGCATGGGGTACTGTGGACCCAGGCAAGCATGGGGTACTGTGGACACAGGCAAGCATGGGGTACTGTGGACCCAGGCAAGCATGGGGTACTGTGGACACAGGCACACACATGGGGTACTCTGGACCCAGGCAAGCATGTGGTACTGTGGACCCAGGCAAGCATGTGGTACTGTGGACCCAGGCAAGCATGGGATACTGTGGACCCAGGCAAGCATGGGGTACTGGTACTGGGGTACTGTGGACCCAGGCACTGTGGACATGGCAAGCATGGGGTACTGTGGACACAGGCAAGCATGGGGTACTGTGGACCCAGGGAAGCATGGGGTACTGTGGACCCAGGCAAGCATGGGGTACTGTGGACACAGGCAAGCATGGGGTACTGTGGACCCAGGGAAGCATGGGGTACTGTGGACCCAGGCAAGCATGGGGTACTGTGGACCCAGGCAAGCATGGGGTACTGTGGACCCAGGCAAGCATGGGGTACTGTGGACCCAGGCAAGCATGGGAACTGTGGACCCAGGCAAGCAGGAGGTACTACATGAACTCACCTTAGTGGGAGGCAATTTATTTTTTGAATGCATTGGTGGTCTGACAGGTTTTGAGTAGTCCACCTGCTTCTTGCTTGTCTTCTGAATGTAATCTGATCCTTTATCGCCCTGTAAACAATATCCATCATTTTCAGTTACACATACAGACATCTGCGCCAATCATACCAGACAAATAACTGGATGTTTATTCACATCACAACATATTCTTCAATTCTGGCACTATTTGTGCCTGCAGCTTTGCTATATTATTTGGGTTAAACAGATCATCACCAGTGCAGCATGAGAAATGTTTTTTCCTCATTTTTCAAGCAGTACCTCTTTTATCTTCGAACTGTGTGAGTCAAAATCCATTGGTCCTCGTTTACTCCAGGAACAGACGAGCACTTGCTTTCCATCGCGACTTTCCATACGGCAATACTCCCCTGAAAACATCCAACATTACAACAAATGCAGTAAATATGATGCATGTGTTAATAGCCAAAAATGATAATGGCAAGAGTGAGTGAGTGAGTGAGTGAGTTTAGTTTTACGCCACTTTCAGCTGTATTCCAGCAATATCATGTTTTACACATTGTACCCATGTCAGGTTTTTAACCCTGGTCTTCGACGTGACAAGCGAACGCTTTAACCACTAGGCTACCCCACCTCCCGACAACGATAGAATGGTGGCTGGATGACGATGTACCCCCTTACTGAAGCCAAAAAACTGGAACCGAAAACTGAGATAATATGCAAAAAGTCTAATATCAACAACAGAAAGGTGCAATACCTATTTCCGATGGCATCACTTTTATCTTCTGCGTCTCATATGCTATCTGTTGCGCGGCCTTGACCTCAGGCGAGACTTGTTCGAAGTCCAGCTTGTCCTGCTGTGTCTGCCAGTGGTCATGTTTCCGCTGGTATTCCTTAAGTTCCTTTAACGTCTTCTGTAGAGACCTGCAAATAACCAGAAATTGCTAGAAATTTGGGTGTGTTTATTGGAGCAGGTTGCCTACAATTTCTATCACTGTATCTCACAGATTCCAGCTGTATCCTAAAGTTTCCAACATTCCTTGACTTATTGTACTTGTCAACCCACCGGTGTTGGGCCTCCAGAGCTGCCTCCAGCTTGGAGTGACACAATACTGCATGCTTCCTCTTGGCTGCAGCCTCGAAGTCCGGCTGAATCTTCAGAGTGTTCTCAAAACATATGACAGACTTGTTATACTCGCCTAGTACCTGGAACACAAACACATCACTGACTTCAATCTTGTACCTTCAAAGAGCAGGGGTAGACACCCAGCCATATCCCGCATGTCCACAGATCATCTTGAATAATGGCTCATGAAAATAAATTACGTTTATGTTGGGAGAAAAGAACTTTTTACTTGAGATGTTCGTTAAACGTACTAGTTTTCACTTGGTGACATGAATCCAAGTGTTTAGATCATGTTTCTCATCCCTTCATGAATAACGGATTCTAAAAGTCAGGAACAAGTCTGTACATAGATAAATCATTACCTCATGAACATACTCTTATGCATAGACTGATGTCATTTTGTTGTTCATCAATCTTGTTTACTCTCATACACAGGAATAGTCTCTCACATGCAGGAATATTCTCTCATACACAGGAATAGTCTCTCATACACAGGAATAGTCTCTCATACACAAGAATATTCTCTCACACACCGGAATATTCTCTCAAACACACAGGAATATTCTCTCACACACACAGGAATAGTCTCTCAAACACACAGGAATATTCTCTCATACACACAGGAATAGTCTCTCAAACACACAGGAATAGTCTCTCAAACACACAGGAATATTCTCTCATACACACAGGAATAGTCTCTCAAACACACAGGAATATTCTCTCATACACACAGGAATAGTCTCTCAAACACACAGGAATATTCTCTCATACATACAGGAATATTCTCTCATACACACAGGAATAGTCTCTCAAACACACAGGAATATTCTCTCATACACACAGGAATAGTCTCTCAAACACACAGGAATATTCTCTCATACACACAGGAATAGTCTCTCAAACACACAGGAATATTCTCTCATAAACACAGGAATAGTCTCTCAAACACACAGGAATATTCTCTCAAACACACAGGAATAGTCTCTCATACACAGGAATAGTCTCTCAAACACACAGGAATAGTCTCTCAAACACACAGGAATATTCTCTCAAACACACAGGAATATTCTCTCATACACAGGAATATTCTCTCACACACAGGAATATTCTCTCACACACAGGAATAGTCTCTTAACACAGGAATATTCTCTCAAACACACAGGAATAGTCTCTCAAACACACAGGAATAGTCTCTCAAACACACAGGAATAGTCTCTCAAACACACAGGAATAGTCTCTCAAACACACAGGAATATTCTCTCAAACACACAGGAATAGTCTCTCAAACACACAGGAATATTCTCTCAAACACACAGGTGGTGCAATCTTAGGTAATAACCTTGCTGCACCAGACAAAAACAAGTTGCACCTGCTGTCCAAAATAGAATTATATTTTATGCTTGAGTTTTCCCAGAAAAGCCTCAGAGCAAGTCAAGATAGATTTCTGATGACCCGGGTTAACTGAATCCAACTGGTGACATATTTTTCAAAGTCAATCAAAGCCCAGCCCTGTATGTTGTAACAGGATCACTACAGCATGGGTGTGTTTGTCAGTGTGGATCAAGTGCACTTCCTGCTCATGTGACAGTCCTGTCTGGACGTGATTAATATGCACAAACACACACGATGATCAGCCACATCCTCAGCCAGCCACCATCACATCACGGTCACTCACACGGTTTTCAAATATCTCACACACAAACACACACCGAGATCGGCCACATCCTCATCCAGCCACCATCCTATCGTTGTCGGGAGGTGGGGTAGCCTAGTGGTTAAAGCGGTTGCTTGTCACGCCAAAGGCGGGGTTCAATTCCCCACAGGGGTACAATGTGTGAAGCCCATTTCTGGTGTCCCCCGTCGTGATAATGCTGGAATATTGCTTAAAGCGGAGTAAAACTAAACTCACTCACTCATACTGTTGTCACACACATGGTGGTGAATTATCTCAAGCACAAACACACACGTTACTGTCTAATCCTACCAGGTACCCATTTCCTGCTGGGTATAAGTGAGTAAATAGGAAATGACTGAGTGAGTTTAGTTTTATGCCGCTTTTAGCAATATTCCAGCAATATCACGGCGGGGGACACAAGAAATGGGCTTCACACATTGTACCCGTGTGGGGAACCGAAGACAGGCCTTCGACGTGACAAGCAAACACTTCAACCACTAAGCTGACCTACCATTCCAAACAGGAAATGAACAGCCTGGACTTAGACTGTATGTTTAATCAGCATGACTAGAATATGAACTAAGTTTAATCTTTAAAATATTTTTATTCCACCATCCATCCATCCAACTCATTAATATTATACCTCTGTCCAGTCTCAACTATTAAGTGCATAGTCACCTTTCCCAAATGAATATTTAGTTTACAATTTCTGTTTGGGACATCACAGCCCTCCAATATAAACCATCTACAGGTCAATGTGGATCCAGAATACAGTTGATAGTTTTTTGACTAAAGCAACTTTGAGGACACAAGTGAACAGTCTCGATTGGCCAGACAGATTACAAAGAGCTGACATCTTACCAGTCCATAACATGACAAGTTCTTAGCCGATTGTGCAAGATTAAAAAACCCTCTCTCCACCAGCTCCTTTAAATATTTAGTCCTTGTGAAGTGTGTTAATTTGTACCAAATTACGGCAGAACAAATATTTTGCATCAAATTTGTACCATGTCAAAATGCAAGACACTTGGCAGATATGAATGGCATTAGGAAGCACACTAGGTGTCCTGATCTGTGAACGTTTCCACCCGCAATCAATCACATCAATCAAATCAACCAATCAATCAATCAACCAACCAATCACATCAACCAACCAATCAATCACATCAATCAATCACAACAATCACATCAATCAACCAACCAATCACATCAATCAATCAATCACATCAATCAACCACATCAACCAACCAATCAATCACATCAATCAATCAATCAACCAACCAATCACATCAATCAACCTCAATCAACCAACCAATCACAATCAATCAAATCACATCAATCAACCAATCAATCAATCATCAATCAATCAAATCACATCAATCAACCAATCAATCAATCCAACCAACAATCAATCACATCAACCAACCAATCAATCACATCAATCAATCAATCATCAACAAAACCAATCAATCACATCAATCAACCAATCAATCACATCAACCAACCAATCAATCAATCATCAATCAATCAATCAATCAATCAATCAATCAATCAATCAATCACAACCAACAATCAATCCACATCAATCAACCAATCAATCAACACATCAATCAACCAACCAACCACATCAATCAATCACATCAATCAACCAAATCCAATCAATCCAACCAACCAATCACCCAACCAATCACATCAATCAATCAATCAATCAACCAACCAATCACATCAATCAACCAATCAATCAATCACATCAATCAATCACTGAACCAATAAGAAGACAAATTAATCCAAAAGTTCTGATACTGTAAATCTGAGCCAAATTACATTTTCATTTTCAATAGAAGTTCTTACCGCATAGATATTTCCCAGAGTAAAATGATTGACATTGAGTTCCTTAGATACGTCCAGGGCTGCATGTACAATGATGGCTGCTTCGTTGGAATACCGGGCCCGGTGCAACACGTTGGCCAGGCTTATGAGAGCTACATCTTTCTGTGATCTGAAACAGATCATTCCATCATGTTTCTACTTTCGTGGAAAGTACTGGCTGAAAGTTATTAGTCAAGGTTAAAATACAACCATGCCTCACAAACTGATAATATCCATAACATGCCAGGAAAATACCAACAGCAACTTGCTATGATTCGACAGCAGCCCAGGGCCTAGATTTTCAAAGCTCTCTTAGCGCTAAGATAGTCGTAAGTTAATGTTAACATATGGCACTTACTACTATCTTAGCTCTAAGAGAGCTTCGAAAATCTAGGCCCAGGACTTTAGCCACTTGTACAAAGCCTGGGTTCAGACAAGGCAAAAAAGTATGAACACGGAAAATGGAAACCATCACTATCATATCACACATTTATCATGAATACTCGGGTCAGACATAGTAAAAGAGCATCCCATTTGTAAGTTACTGCAGTTGGTCTGTCATGACTGAGGCATGATGACACACCAATTTCCAGTTGTCAGTGTTATTCAAATTCTTGTCCATAAAGTATAAATGATTGTATTTTGAACACACTGACAGGTAAAAATGTAGTTCTTACCTGGGGGAGTAATGGAGAGCTCTGCGGACACATTCAATGGAATGATATGGATCTCCCTTGATGCGCCAGTAGAAGGCAGCCATGTTGTATAAAACCCATGATGTTTTATTCTGTGGACACAACAAACAACAGCATTGAGAACATTTGATGAACAACAGTATTGAATACATTTCATTAACAACAGAAATGAGAACATTTGTTGAACAACATTGAAAACATGTGTTGAACAACAGCATCAAGAACATCTCATGAAGAACAGCACTGAGAACATCTAATGAACACAAGAATTGAAACATTATCTTTTCTATGTGATGGTTCAGAGAAGTTTCTTTGCTTGTTTCTTTGCTGTTTGACACCTCACTCAGCAACAATAAAGCTATAAGATGGTGGCCAGTTACTTGTGAAATGGTGGCCAGTAAATAGTCAAATGGTGGCCAGTAAATAGTCAAATAGTCAAATGGTGGCCAGTAAATAGTCAAATGGTGGCCAGTAAATAGTCAAATGGTGGCCAGTTATTAGTCAAATGGTGGCCAGTAAATAGTCAAATGGCAGCCAGTAAATAATCAAATGGTGGCCAGTAAATAGTCAAATGGTGGCCAGTAAATAGTCAAATGGTGGCCAGTTAATAGTCAAATGGTGGTGGCCAGTAAATAGTCAAATGGTGGCCAGTAAATAGTCAAATGGTGGCCAGTAAATAGTCAAATGGTGGCCAGTTAATAGTCAAATGGTGGCCAGTAAATAGTCAAATGGTGGCCAGTAAATAATCAAATGGTGGCCAGTAAATAGTCAAATGGTGGCCAGTAAATAGTCAAATGGTGGCCAGTTAATAGTCAAATGGTGGTGGGCAGTAAATAGTCAAATGGTGGCCAGTTAATAGTCAAATGGTGGCCAGTAAATAATCAAATGGTGACCAGACAATCCAGTGATTGATATTCTGAACAATGCTCCAAGCCATCAGGGTAAGTTGACAAGTCAGCCATCCGGACAACCTTCTAACCCAGAATCCCCACCAAAGATTTGTCATGTGAGGTAAACTTTTCAGTCAATCTAGAATTGTATCTTATCATTGAAGAGTGCTGTTTACTGCTTACAATATGCAGATCAATAATCCGAGCTCAATAACCGATTGTAATCATGAATTCCACCACAAAACTCATGTGGGCAATAACGGGACACAATCATAACACTGTGGAAATGTACAGGCACCAAGTAATACCATGATCAAGACGATCGAGGATACTTCCTGTTTAGACACACACATGAATCTGTTGTTTACACTGCAGGTTTCGAAGTCTGGAAACTGCATCAGGTGTGTATATCTTGATATAACTACCATAATAATATGAAACATACTTTCTAAAGTTTAATTTGATGTTGAACCGTTTATGAATATTGCATAATCACTGAAGTAAGCGGGATTGATCAATTAACTGATTAATCTATTTATCTTTTTTTGTTTGTAGTTTAACCCTGCATCTAGCAATATTCCATCTGTGTGGTGGCCGTCTGTAAATAATAGAATCTGGACCAGACAATCTAGTGATCAACATGAGCATGAGCATCAACCTACGCAATTGGGATACGATGATGTGTCAAGCAAGTCAGCGAGCCTGACCACCTGATCCCGTTAGTCGATTGGGATACGATGATGCGTCAACCAAGTCAGTGAGCCTGACCACCTGATCCCGTTAGTCGATTGGGATACGATGATGTGTCAAGCAAGTCAGCGACCCTGACCACCTGATCCCGTTAGTCGATTGGGATACGATGATGCGTCAACCAAGTCAGTGAGCCTGACCACCTGATCCCGTTAGTCGATTGGGATACGATGATGTGTCAAGCAAGTCAGCGAGCCTGACCACCCGATCCCGTTAGTCGATTGGGATACGATGATGCGTCAACCAAGTCAGTGACCCTGACCACCTGATCCCGTTAGTCGATTGGGATACGATGATGCGTCAACCAAGTCAGTGACCCTGACCACCTGATCCCGTTAGTCAATTGGGATACGATGATGTGTCAAGCAAGTCAGCGAGCCTGACCACCTGATCCAGTTAGTCGCCTCTAACGACAAGCATTGGTTGATGAAGATCAATTCTAACCCGGATCTTCACGGTCCTGAAAACCATCAGTTACTTGCAGCCACAGCGTGTATCACATTACAGTATGCACTGTACAGCACCATGTAGGCTGTATGTTTCATGGGGCGAAATGAGTCAGCATCTATGTAGCCTACCTTCTGTAAAGCCTCATACACAAGATGGCCATAGTCATCCACATTCTCCCGATGTGTAATGGCATTCTTCAGCCCAAGTTCTGGGGTGCCAGATAAGTTCTGTCTATCTTTTAAACCCTGGAAAACATAAAAGGATATATTCAAATACAAAAGGATATTAAACTTTTAATTCTGTTAAAGTGCACATCTTTGGTTGCACCCCTCCAGATGCAAAAGCATGTATAAAGATGGATATATTCAAATGTACACAAGGATGGTCACTTGCCTTTCCAGATGCTCAAAGTTAAAGTTTAAGCACATCCATACAGAAGGTGATGGTTTAAGATGGTCGCACCCTTACCTCCAGATGCTCAAAAGCATGTATACGGTAGTTTAAGATGGTCGCACCCTTACCTCCAGATGCTCAAAAGCATGTATACGGTAGTTTAAGATGGTCGCACCCTTACCTCCAGATGCTCAAAAGCATGTATACGGTAGTTTAAGATGGTCGCAGCACCCTTACCTCCAGATGCTCAAAAGCATGTATACTGTAGTTTAAGATGGTAGCAGATGGTCGCACCCTTACCTTACCTCCAGATGCTCAAAAGCATGTATCAAAAGGTAGTTTAAGATGGTCGCAGCCTTTACCTCCAGATGCTCAAAAGCATGTATACGGTAGTTTAAGATGGTCGCACCTCACCTGTATACGTAGTTTAAGATTACCTCCAGATGCTCAAAAGCATGTATACTGTAGTTTAAGATGGTCGCAGCCTTACCTCCAGATGCTCAAAAGCATGTATACGGTAGTTTAAGATGGTCGCAGCCTTACCTCCAGATGCTCAAAAGCATGTATACTGTAGTTTAAGATGGTCGCAGCCTTACCTCCAGATGCTCAAAAGCATGTATACTGTAGTTTAAGATGGGCATGCAGCTAGTTTAAGATGGGCAGCCTTACCTCCAGATGCTCAAAAGCATGTATGCTGTAGTTGAGATCAGTCACATCAAGATGCAGACCATGTATACTGTAGTTAGGATTCTCTCCAGATGCTCAAAGGATTCTCTGGCAGGTTGGCATTGACCTCAATATGCTCATCTGGCCTGTGGATCAACAGAAAACCATTGTACTACTCTAACTGTAATGTGTTATGTTCCATCAGCTAGTATTACTTCTAAAGGACTTCAAAAGAACCTATGATAATTGTTGCTGATTTATTCTTCTTCAACCAGACACTGGAAGATTCAAGAGAATGGGTGACCTACCCCAGCCTATCGATCTGGTCGGAAATCTCACCATACAGACACCCTTTGTAAAATTAAGGACTGGCCTTCCACAGATTATGCTTTTAGAATTGTGAACCATTTGATGCATTGTCTGGTTATACACCAATATGCACAGGAATTCATTCTTCCCTACAACTGTCAAACAGAATATTCCAGCAATATCACGGCCGGAGACACCAGAAATTGGCCTCACACATTGTACCAATGTTGGGATTCGAATCCAGGCCTACTGCACAAGTGAATGCTCTAACCACTTGGCTACCCCACTGTAGCTAATAGACGCTAAGCCAGACCACTCAATTCACCCAGTCGCCTTTCACAACCAGCAAATCTAACCAGGATTTCTAATAGGACTGTGCAGATGTAGATAAACTATAACAAACAGGGGTGTCACTACTTACCGGATCCCCTTGTTTTCAAGAGGCAGCACTGTAGAGATGTACAGGTCAAACTCAGGAAGGGGCTTCCCTGCCTCCACACAGTTGGGATCTGTCTTGTAGAACCTCTGCTCAAGACCTGGAAATCACAACCATAGGTCAACTCATTAGAAACTCAAAACAGACATCACACAATAGGAACGCAAAATGCAGAAAGTGGTCAAATGTAACATTTGGTATATAAGAAACATCTATTTATACAGGTAGTCCATTTATTAGAAACTCAAAACAGCTAAGATATTATTCAATTAGAAAGTGGTCAAATGTAACATTTGTTACATTAGAAACATCTATCTATGTATACAGGGAGTGTTATCCAATATATATCAAATGTCACTCCATTACAACTGTTCACTATCAAGTCTCAGTTTATTTACGTACTTTCTGCAAGACTCATGTTAAGCTCATACAATAATTATATGCAAGTTTATATCAAACGTACTGCCTACACCTTATATCGAAGCATTTATATCCATGCATTTCAAAAGTACAGAAGTTTTGACCAACATATTTTTGTTGAATTTAATTCCATAAAATTGAGGTATTTCAACTTTCAGGCTGTACTTGAAATCTCAATACACAGTATGTTGTTACCTATTAGCTCCACTGGACAGTCATTTTAAATAATGCTTCGCTCACTCATACTTCATTTGAAACAGACCAGTAAAGGTCCGGGTAAGAATGAACCTTCAGTAACCCATGCTTGTCATAAGAGGTGACTAACGGGATCGGGTGCTCAGGCTCGCTGACTTGGTTGACACATGTCATTGGTTCCCAATTGCGCAGATCGATGCTCATGCTGTTGATCACTGGATGGTCTGGTCCAGACTCGATTATTTACAGACCATCCCCATATAGCTGGAATATTACTGAGTGCGACGTGAAACTAAACTCACTCACTCACTAGAGAATCTGCATATGCTGTATCTTGAACAGTTTGTTATTTTTCACTTGTTTTACATCAGCATAACTTGTAATGTAATAAATCGGATGTACTACAATACAGAAGTTGTATTGTATTGTATTGTATTGTGTTGTACTGTATTGTATTGCGAGCTGTATTGTACAGTACAGTACTGTACTGTACTGCTGTATCGTTACAACACTAGCTCTGTTGAGGAGAAAGTATGTTAAAGTTACTGGTACGTGACAAACAACGGCGATGTTGACTGCACCTCCCTTTGTTGATATATAAGACCAGAAGAAACAAGCGTCTCACTGACACAAATTATATACATTCAGACTATAATGAAATGTCACATTTTACTCATTCAACATTATCATACATGTTAGGGATTTATTTGTGATTAACATCAATATTTGTCAGATAGAGTTTAATGCCAATGTTGTGATTAAGAGAGTTGACGTGAACATTATTTCATCTTTGCCATGGTAACATGTACTATGGTGATCAGTTTTTCACTACAGGAAAGCCCACAAGTAATCCAGAACTCAGCCATTTTACAAACATTATCACGACAAACAGGGAATGGGACCTTGATCCAAAGTTTCTGACACACTTAGAGTTTGCATCCCTGAACAGCCAAACAGTACTGCCTTTGTTTCCTGGGCCACCCACTCTCACTAAACCCCTTATAATAGTAATTCAGTCACAGCATCTCATGTTGTTGGAGGACAGATAAGTGAAAAACACAAGATTGGACATAGTTCTGACAGACTAAAGGTCACAATCAAGCAAGCTAAACTGACTTAATATCAACTGACGGAACTAAAATGCTGTCATTTATAATTTACTCCACTGCACAATAAGGCAGTAACGATTCACTCGCATATTCGCTGAATCGAACCGTAGCCCTTCATGAATTCAATTCGTTATTTGTGGTCACCAGAACCGAATATTAACGAATATTTAAGATTTTTTTAAGGCAGCATGTTTTACTTGAACCCTTATGTCCTTTCCAAAGTGAGATATGCAAGAATGGAACATGTACTAGCATTGCAGTAGTGCAAGTCATGTTAGTTTGCCAAGACTGCACATGGTACTGTCGACTATAACTATTACATGTACATACCAAATTTGAGTGTCATGAGATCACTGGTTATTGCTATGACAAATCAAAACTGTCAACATGGACGTTCCATAAAGTGCATCAATCACTTAACTACAATATTATATTCTTGAATAATCATTCGTATTCGTTACCCAAAATTCATGATACGTATCATATTCACCACATAGTGTATTCGTTGCAGCCCTACTGCACAACTAGACTGACTTGAATAGTCTACCAGTAACACATGCTGCACCTAGAGCATGTCATGAAATTGATGGTCTGGTTTCAAACTTATGGACCATGGCTGGAAAAACCTGCATGATGATTGTATTTTTGACTAGGGGTCCCCATTGTTGAAGGGAAGGCCATATCTTTAGTCTTGGTGGGAGAACTACGCTTACACCTACTGAAGGTCCCTCTACTAAGTTCTATAACCCAGTTTCGATTTCCGTGAGAATATTTCAATACCATCATGTATACACCTGCATCCTGACCTTCCAGCACTGAGCCAAACACCCAAAGATCCATGCTCCCTCTAGCAAACTCATACATTACAGGTTATATGAGAAACTCATAACTACTGCAAATTTCTTTCAATAGATAAACCCGTAAAGGCCTGGGTTAGAATGAACCTTCAGTAAGCCATGCTTGTCATAAGAGGCGACTAACGGGACCGGGTGATCAGGCTCGCTGGCTTGGTTGACACATGTCATTGTGTCCCAATTGTGCAGATCGATGCTCATGCTGTTGATCACTGGATTGTCTGGTCCAGACTTGATTCTTTACAGACCGCCGTCATATAGCTGGAATATTGCTGAGTGCGGCATAAAACTAAACTCACTCGCTCATTCAATAGATGATACAGATAATATCTCTAAACTTATAAGGAAGGAATATTCATCTCTGGGGCAAGTATATCTGAACTGACAGTAATAATAGTATTCACAATAGAGCTTGAAGGTCAAGTGAACCTTGTCTTAACCCTAGTTTAGAAAATAAAATTTCAAGGATGTTTTATTGAAATATTATAGCAGGAAACAGGAGTTGGCCTCAGTAATAACTCATACTGAAGTATTAATTAACCGAACGTATTCATCATGTGTGAATACATTCATGTCAACAAGATATTGGTACAAGTGTATCATGATAATACATGGATGAAACATTACACGTCTTCCATGTATTGCACAATAAACTATGTACATTAAGCATGGGCATGCAACATGAGCAAGTGGCAACATAACAAATGGACATAACATTCTGAACTCAACAAATATCAAATTATCAATCTGGAAATGTGTACTCTTATTGGCCACATCTGTTACTCAACAGATGCAGCTTTCTGAAATATAATGTACATACTGAATGTGTGGCTATGTTGTGTTTCGCGACAATAGCACCTGCTGAATATTGAAATATACATATTGAAAATATGGGTACGTTGTGTTTCTCAATAGCACCTGCTGAATATTAAAATGTACATATTGAAAATATGGGTATGTTGTGTTTCTCAATAGCACCTGCTGAATATTAAAATGTACATATTGAAGATATGGGTATGTTGTGTTTCTCAATAGGACCAGCTGAATATCAGAACCAAATTTTGATGATGTTATGAGAACCATGTGCTCATTTTCGAAAATACAAATAAATGATGAAAAATCACTATCCAGTGTCAAGCAAATCTTTCCAAGAGCTATACTGCAATGTCAAGGACAATTCTACCTAGTGAGTGAAGATCAATCATTATTCTTATTTCACCTGTCAGGTGTAGTTATTCTGCTCTTACACCACACCGAGTCAGGGCTTGTGAGAACAGAAAATACACCTTACCAATTGCAGTGAGTAAATAACAATTATGGGCTCCAGACAATACTTTCTCAATCGGTGTTTACTCAGATGTTATCATTCACACTGGGTAATGATAGTATTGGAGTGTTCAAGATGTTTCTAATCTCTTGGGTCCTGTCTTGTGCGGCCACTATGAGACGAATACATGTTTTATGAATATAAAGTAACGAGAAAAGCCAGATTTATGGATGTCGACTTCTCTATTGTGAATAGCATGACGTTTCGGAGTGTATCCTTACTCCTTCATCAGGTTAACACATTACTCATGAAGGCGCAAGCATACACCCCGAAACATCGTGATATTCACAATAAAGAAGTTAACATCCATAAATCTGGCTTTTCTTATGCATTCCACTTATAAATGCCCTTCAAAGATTTCATAAAGTAATGAACCGCCTCCGTGGTGTAGTGGTTAGAGCGTCCTCCTGGAGAGCGGAAGGTCGTGGGTTCGATCCCCGACCGCGTCATACCAAAAGACGTTAAAATATGGTACTTGTTGGTCCCTGCCTGGCGCTCGGCATTAATGGGTACAACAAGGACTGGTCGGCTCAGAGTCAGTATAATGTGTCTGAGTGGGGTATTCATGCTTCACTGCAGCATGGTATCTCAGTGGGCTAGAACTATAAAACCAGCTTAAGTCTGGGCTAGTACAAGCAGCCGCACATACACATACACACGCATGCACGTCGTCATATGAGCGAAATATTCTCAAGCACGACGTTAAAACCCAATTTCACCTCACCTCACCTCATAAAGTAATAAATACAAATATATATTCATGAATACTTTATGGTTAATATCTAGGAATAATAATAACAAAAGTCATTGTAACTGACGAAGCTGAAACATATCTTGTGTAAAACAAAACAAACAAAAAAAGCAATACATCCCTTATTGCTTAGTACCGTGAAGGGCCCACTTCAGAATAACACAAGTTATGCTACTACAAAACTTGGATATGTTCCATTTTTCGTATCTCCCTTAGATAAACACCAAGCTACAGTCCGTTTGAGACAAAATGATACCGATGAATTGCAATCTAACACAAAAACAAATAGACATAACAGAAGCACATCAACGCAGAGTGCAATTAAAACAACAGACCAACTCTAGAAACAAATTGCATACTTTCTGTCACAAAAAATATAAAACTTGTTTAAGAAACTGTCATCATTTATCTGTGCGTTTTCCCAGTTTGTTACAAGGGCGCATT